ACACACACACACACACACACACACACACACACACAATGAATGATGGAGAGATCCAGAAACAGCCCTGTATTATTATTGTTCCCCGGTCTGCTGACCTTCTTAAAGTCTTTAGTCTCTGATCCGTCAGCCTGGGTGCGGTCGTTACAAGACGTGTCCACCCTGAGCGGACCAACAGAAGCAGAAGTCAGACGGGTCGCCGTCACAGATGGAGGTTAAAGCAAACAGAGGATTCATTATCTACCTGGAACTCGTGCGTTGGTCCTTCTGTTTACAAAAGTAAATAAGCAGTTAGACTGTTTCCCTGCAGATCACCAATAAGAGCACAAACGTATTAGACACTACCTGTGGATCCAGCCCACTCCCTGAGAACTCTTCCTCTCCATCATTTTCGTCACCCTGCAGAAAAACAGTGTAATTAAAGAAATCAAACCACAGCTACTCTTTTTGCTTGTGGTTTTATCTTGAAGCGTTTACCTCTCCGGTTCTTTGCGCCTTCCTTCTGGCCCGGGCCTGTCTCCTCTCCCTGCGCTCTCGAGCCCATCGCTCCGTCTCGCTCTCCTCTGTGCCGACTTCCGTATCTACAGCAAAACGCTGTTTTCTTTTAAAACGCCATATTTAAGCACAAGTAATGTTTGAAATCGAAGAAATGATGGCGGCTACCTTTCCTGTCAGACATCTGGGAGCGAGGAGAACCAGCAGGCTGCGTGAGGCCCAGCAGGTCGGATTTCTGCAGACTGGCGATACGGGACCTCCAGCTCACTTCCTGCAAGCCCAGTGTGTGACGTCATGTCGCAAATAAACAAGAGAAGCAGCCATCATACAAAAATCTCTCTCACCCCCTCATCAGCCTTCTTCTGCTTTGTTTCCTTCTCTTTCTCCTTCTCCTCTTCCCCTTTATTGTCAGTCTTCATGGTTTTAATGGTCTTCTCTGCTTCCTGCAGATCTGTCAGCGTCACCCCCTTCGAACGAAAACTTAAACTTTAGACCCAGCCGAGGTTTAAAAGGCTTGAATCTGCAGGACGAGGGAGTGAAATGGAAACCTGAGTGGAGCGTCGAGACTGTCGAGCGTGCCTGGAGCGAGCTTTCCTCTGCGCTTCCGCCTCCTCATCCCGTACGGGTGTCAGATACGACCTACGGGAGTTTCAAAGAAAATTAAAAACCACTTAAGCGATGTTGCAACACAACATTTCTTAAGCGTTTCTTTTAAGGTCTTACTTTCGCCTCTGTTTGGTCTCCTGGTCGCCTGTCGTTGTGCTCTGAGGGTTGGAGGTGTTGCTGGACAACAGATCCTTTTTTTCTGATCTTTCCTGAGGAAGTCTTTGAGTGAGGGAAGAAAAAACAAGAAAAAGATGAAGTGCTTCTTTTTTTAATGAAAAGAAAACACAAAGTTAAAAAAACAAAACAAAACAAAACAATAAAAACCTTTGAGCGAAGCCAGTAATGGGGCGGCTCAGGCCAGAATAGCTCGTTCCTGTGCTCGCTGAGGTCACGCTGGTGTCATCCAGTCTCCTTCCGTACGACGAGCTAGCAACAAGACAGCACACATTGGAAACACAAGGGCCGTCTTTCACGGTCATGTGAATACGGAGAAATGTGTGCGAGTGTGGGTAAATGAGCTGTGACACTGCAAAACACAATCTCACACAGGTGAACAGAATGAGCGAGTAAACAGAAGCCAGGTGGCGAGCAGCGTGACTGACCTGTGAAGCAGAGATGGAATGGAACTAGTGAACTCATTTCCTAACTGACCATAAAGCCGTCGGGTGTAAGAGGAGCTACGACTGAGCCAGCTGAGAGACACACACAGGGTGACAGGGGGACACAAACAACGGCGCCGTGACTCAGGCTGTGCTTGTACAACAAGGTGCGGAGTGTGAACGAGGGGTTAAAGGTCACCTGTTGGAGTTGTCCGCGCTGCTATCTGGAATACTGAAGAGCCTCCGCGTGGGATTTGGCTGCACTCGAGCGAGCCTGGGCTCCTGAAAACAAGCGGGATGGCGTGTTTGTCTGTTATTTATGCAACTCTGCGAGTGGAAGCTATAAAAGAAGCCTATATTTGGGGAGGCGGTCGTGTGCCAGTTCTAAAGTAGCGGGCCACGCGTTTTTAGCAACGGCGTAAATCTTGGGAGAGGACTGCGTACCTTGGCATCAGCCTCGGAGCTTAGGCGAGGGCTGGAGGCGGAGCGAGTCATTCCCGGGCCGGGCTCCGCAGGTCTGCTCGGGTCCTGCTGGGAGTCGGAGAGCCCCGCGGAGCCCAGAGTCACGGAGCTGCCTGCTTTTCTCAGAGACGTCCTCCAGGAGCCGGGGGCTTCGGTGGCTGGAGGCTTGCTTGGCTCCTGCTCCACACCAGAGAAAAATCACAAGTTTTTTTATCTGTAAAGTAAATCTTTATATATTTGATGTTCTCTGTAAAAAAAAAACCCTCAGAATACCTTTTTCACTTGGTTAGCAGTGGTTGTCGCTGACATGGAGGTAGAAAGCATGCTGGTGGTGTTTCGTTTGTTGTTCAAGTTGTTTATGATTTCTCGGTTCTTTGCTTTTTCTAAAAACGGCACAAATATATACAAAGACAAATATATTTTTAAATTCTGACAGGACGAAACAGCAGACAGTGTGTTTATTAACAGGACTGTTGTAGATATGTAAACAGCAGCAGCTCTCTCACCTGACTCTGCGTCGCTCTCAGACTCGCTCTCCTCCTCGGAGCTGGAGCTGCTGGAGGCTTTCGCCTGGCTCTGCCCCGTCTGGCCTTCCTCCTCCTCGTCCTCGGCCGGACTGCTCGGCAGGGCGGGAGGCGGGTGCTTCTCCCGCTCGTGGAGGCCGATCTTCTCCTTGCTGCTCATGCGAGAGATAGAAGTCCTGCGGGGGCGGGGCGTGAAGCAACAGGTGGCAGGATCAGAGAGGATGATTGCAGCCAATCAGAGAGAACAAACAGCACATGAGCAGGAGGAAGAGTGGGTCAGCTTTTTATTCATCTGTGCTGCTGAATTTATTCTGAATTTATCACAGTTTTGCTTTAAACTTTGAACAGAAAATTACAAAACAAAAGTCATGTCTTTATGTATAATTAAAAAATTAAAAATCCTCATTTTTATAGTTTAAATTTTAGGTTAATTAGCATTTCTTAAAGGAGTACACATCACCTGCTTCCTTTCATGCCAGAGTTTTAAACTAAGATCATTTTGTGATGAAAAGGGACTGAGCTAAAACAGTTGCAGTGGAATTTTGACAATTAGGTTTTGTGCAATCTCATACCATATTGCAACATCCTATGATATATTAGCCCCAAACGTATGTGTTGTAAATGACCCGAAGCTATGACCATAGCAGATTTTAACTCAATATGTGTAAAACTGCATTATAGTCACTTTGATGTATGAAGTTGATTAGCTGTGGCAGCCATCTTGACTCCACAAGTTAATAGGTTGGAGATTTACATCCAATTTCTCCTTTCTGAGTTTTATTAAAACCCGTCCAGTGATTCATGAGATARCCCACACAGGTTACCCACATTATATTAGGGTGGGTGATAATTAATGATTATTAAGTAAACTGCCTATATAATATATATGGATATAGATAAATTGATGGAAAAACACAAATAGCCGCTTGTATTTGGTCATGGATTTGTAGTTACTGTGGGACTGATTGGTATACTTTAGGTATAAATACCATTTTTTTGAAGATGAAAAAATTATTTTATTTATTTAAACCTTTATTTAACCAGATAAATCTCATTGATATTTAAATGAGACCTGGCCAAGAATGACAT